ATTTCATGAACATAATTTGCAGCCAATAACCAAGTTGTCACTTGTTGCTTTTTTTTTTCTTCCAAGGGTTGGGTTTGTTGTGATTTGCAATTCCCTGTGGTGCCTTAAGCCAGTGGAATAAAGGAGTCTATGAGATGTGATGTATTTTAACATATATATTTTAAATTTTTTATTATAGAAAATATATTTGATATATTTTACCTTAACAGCTGATTGGAATTGTAAAGAGAAAATATTTGGTGAGTGACAATATTATAGGTTACTTCCCAGGAGCCAGTAGTTAGTAAGCTCACGTGAACCTCACAAATGCTATTTTATCTTTTTTCTTTCTTAAACCGTCTAGGTTGCATGTACAAACCAGTCTCCTCACAGTGAGCTGTGAGATCTGCTAGCAGCCATTTTGTCCAGAGAGAGCCCATGACATGAAACCTGTCATTGTATGGTTGCCACTGGCCAGTGGTTACGTTACCAGATAACTTACCACAACTTAATTTTCAAATTAGCAATTGCTGCCTCATATGGTTTTGTTTAAAAGGCTGACTTCACTACAAACAAGTATTTGTCTGAAAGGGGGTAGTTTATAGCATGTGTCATGATTCATAAAATGGCATTTGTGCAGAATGTAAGTTGAATTATGCTCAGACTTCACTTGTTTGCTTCCAGCAAGTTGTCCACCACAAATACTGAGTGATTTGACAAAATAATAACCACAAACACGACCCAGTGAAATAGGGTGGTGAAAGGGAACAGATCATATATCAAGTTAGTGAGGGGTCAGTAGGAGGAATTGGTGCTCTAAATCCTCGTGGAACAAGGACCATAAATTTCAGATCTATTTGATTAGCGTGTAGGGATCATAGTTGGTACGTCCCACAGGGGACAATGGTGACATACGCTAGTCATTTGTACTCTCAAGGAGGCTTTTAACTATCAATGTTCAATGCCCTACAGGCATATACATTAGCTCCAACCTTTCCTCGGGGTCAAAAATATCAACTGAAAGATGAGGAAATAAAATATTTCATGTAGCCCTCTACACATTAAAGTTTCATAGAATGTTTCACAGGCAATTATAGCCTTTACTACTATGACATATTCAGTTAAATGAAACAACCATTTGCAGCCAATAGGATGTTAATATTTTTACAAGGTGCTTACTCCATTTGGAGTGTAAGGGAAGGGAATCTATCTCAAATGTAGAACTTTAGGCATTAAGGCTTTTAGTTCTCTGTTGCCCTGTAGTTAGAGTCAGTGGTGTGCCTTAATCCAAACTAGAATAATTCAAAGAAACCCATATCATACCATTTGGGTGTGAAGCACAATTTTGAAGTCACATCAACATCCCAGTTTAAGTCCAATCAACTAGTATACATTAGACACAAAAAGACCTCAAGAGGTAGACATTAGAGGGGATTTAATTGATTACTTGTTTTCTGCAAATTTTTATCTTAAGTGCTTTTCATGTATCGACTCATTCAACCATCACAACAGCCCAATGATTACTCCCCCATTTAACAGATTAGGGAACTGAGGCACAAAGATGTCAAGTAACTTAGTCACACCACTAGGATGTCATTTGCTTGTATCATTAAATAAATTCTGTAATCATATGTCATTCACCTACCTATTTAAGTCTCATTTGTGGATTGCAATAGAGGTATCAAATGTAAACCTATCTCTAGAATTTGCCAGTTAAACGAACAGAGGCCAAAATAGGATTTGAGGTGACTACAACTGTACTCTAAAGTATAGGTGTTGGAATTTTCACAGAGAAAACAGGTTGTTTCTTCCTCAAACTCCTTTTTAATAAGAAGCGTGTGGTGATCAAAGGGGATATTTTATGATTAGCCCTTCACATGGCTACAAACAAGTTTGAAAAAAATAATAAAAATATTTTGCTTGAACTACTCCAAAATGTGAACAACCAGAAAAATGAAATAATGTATTTTTCTCTGCAACTAAGCATGCCCCCAAAAAACTAGAGAAAAGAGGTACATGTCTGAATGGGATGGCGGCAGCTCCAGGTGCCTTTGAAGCTTTGGAAAAGTTTTGTTCCACAAAAGGACTCTTAAATTTGCACAGCAGGTTCTTATTCAACATCTAATCACACTTGGCTGCTGTCAGCAGGCCTGTAAGGTTTCTTTCTCACTCAGTTATTAGCTGCCACTGACGTGACATTTTCAAAATTTAGGAATGTAATGAGATTTAAGTGGAACCCATCCCTGTGAAGCATTTCACTCCTTGGTCACCAAGAAGTAGGACTTGGCTTGCAACGTGGCTAAGGAAAACAAGCAAGTGTTCTCAGAATTCAACTCATGTTGTGGAGTAAGTGGAGTTTTTCGCCTCCTTTGGTGACTTTTCACATTGTTCTTAATGGTGGCTGCGGTAATAGTGGTAACAGACGAAGAATGGGGCAGACATGTTTGCAGTCATGGTGGCCGTACCTGGTTATAGTAGCTGTAGCAACTGTACTACTCACAGGAACAACAACAATCATTTATTTTAATGTTACAATAATAGAAAAATCAAGAATTATAATTATAGTTTTTATATATTAACAGATTCTTCCATATTTTTAATTATTTCTATATGAACAGTCTGAGACTTCACCTTCGAAATGTGGGAAATTACGGTTCCGGAAAACTTTTTCCTGATGAAAGGAAGCAGCAGTTAAGGATTTGCATGATATGAAACCTGAGTTACAGAGAATGGAGAATAATTTTTTGCCAAATCTATATAGAAACATTCAGGGATAAAAAATATATATGTATCTTTCTTTTTTTAAGAATTAACAGTAAGAATTGGCTATCTGAAATCATTGCCCTGCATTTTGCAACTGTTTTCCTGGGAATTGCAGCTGCTTTTCTTAGACGTGCTTTGGAAAGTTAATTTTGTATTGATTTGCAATTATCATACTGCCTTGAATTACAGCCCCCTTCTTTAAATTAAGCGAAGTTTCTTCCATTAGTACATGGAGAATATAGAATAGGGAAATAACTATCCAGAGCCACTGTCCCTTACAGAACATTCTCAGAGTATAATTTAATCTTTTCTTTATAGAATTTTTGTATCCACCTTAATGGTGAAATTACAAAGGCATGCGGGTGAGGATAGGGGAAAAAAATAAATCATATGTCCTGAAAAATAGTTACTCTTCATCTTGATAACTTTAGGGATGTGATATTGGCTTTGAACATTGATGGTGACTCTGAAAATTTACAGGGAAATAAAACAAAAGCAATGACTGTAGCACCGTATCTTAATATCTTTTAGTACACTTGAGCTATGTGAAACTGCAAATGTACAAAATTCTGCTCAAGACATAGGGAATTTATTTGAAAGATATTATTTGGCATTTGAGAAACAAGAAATAATCAATGATTAAAATACATGGTAGAAATTTCGCTAGTTAAAAATATATTTTTAAAGGTAAATAGCTAAAATTCAGTTATGCCCTTGATGAAAAATGTAAAGGAAGTCAAAGGAAAGAAGACATTGCGAGAAAGACAAATTAATTTCAAAATAAATAACTGCAGATTTAAATTTCTAATAACTTACCTAGAAATTATAACTGAAAATTTGAAATGATACAAAAACCACAATACACCAATGAAAACTTTATTCAGACCATGAAGTAAGGTAACAGAAGCTTTAACACAATTTTGTGTTTTTTTAAGTATTGCTTGTTTTATTCATTAATTCTTATGAAAATAGAAAAATGATCTACAGTAGTCCCAGCTGTCTAGTTAACCTGTGATTGCCTAAACATTACATTACAATTGCATTATCACAAATAATTTGCTTTGGGTTTTATTTTATATCTTATGTGTGTGTGCCTACTTACATATATGTTCTTAATTGTGCATTTCTTAGATTAATATTAATATTAATATTCCCTGAGCTGACTCTCCTTTTAGGAAGCTAAAGACCTTAGAGGCAAGAAGCCAATATAGGATTAATAATTTGTCATGAATAATCCACAAAATAAATAAGGCCAGTGTGGATAATTGGAAGTGGACAGGGTTGTAACATAGGAGCTATTGAAAGTTAATTCAATACGAAGTTCTTCATAGTTAATTCTCTCTCAGTACCCAACCACTAGAACAGGCTGTAATTGATCACACTCTAAATAGAGAGGCATTTGCGCATTATCAATGTTTTACCATTTAACTGCAACATGTAATATCTTTCTTCTTGATAAAGTGCTAGTATTATTAAAACTCAGAAATGTGCAAGTTTTTTCATGGGTGTTTAACATCCTTTCAACTTTGAAAGTAAGGTCCAGAACATTTTGTGCATCTTAGTGTTAAAGATATCCATGTGCGGTTTATAAAATGTCCCAAACTGAGATTACAGTTTGAGAAATGCAATTAAACTTCATGAAAATGCAATTAAACATCATGAAAATTCATTCACTTGTAAAAAGGACTTGCATGTTCAGCTAGTGTTAAACTAACAAGAGATTAATAATGGCAGATTGAGGGGCGCCTGGGTGGCTCAGTTGGTTAAGCGACTGCCTTCGTCTCAGGTCATGATCCTGGAGTCTCTGGATCGAGTCCCGCATCGGGCTCTCTGCTCGGCAGGGAGTCTGCTTCTCCCTCTGACCCTCCCCCCTCTCATGTGCTCTCTCTCGTTCTCTCTCTCTCAAATAAATAAATAAAATCTTTAAAAAAAAATTAATGGCAGATTGAATATTTGAATTACTTACCTACTGTATTAACCATTTTAGCCTAATGATCTCTTCCAGAAAAGTCACTTTTCCCACAATTAAAATTGTACATATTCTAGATTTCTGCTTTACCAGTCTGCAAGGTACTACAAAATTATGAGACTTTGTTACATAATCCACACCTATTATTGATCAGACATTAAGACATTAATTATGTTCCTTTTTTTTTTAGCTGTGATATTTTACTTTCAAAATATGACTGCAATTAAGTTTGGAGGTAAAATTTTATCTGGGCTTTTCCTTAACATATTTCCTGTTTTTGCAATGACAGGTTTCATATACACTGGAGAAGTTGTACATCGAATGCTTACGGCCACACAGTACATAGCGCCTTTAATGGCAAATTTCGATCCCAGTGTATCCAGAAATTCAACAGTCAGATATTTTGATAATGGTATGTATCGATTAGCCTATTCTTTACTGAATGTGTACTTTTAAACATTGATTATCAGATTCATATCAATCTCTTGTTAACCTGGAGGGTTTTTTGGGGGGTAAACTGGATTATAAAGTGCTTGATGCAAAAGTCTTACGATGACAATGTTATACTGTAACTGTTAATATGTGCATTGAACTCTATGGTCAAAAGTCATTTATTCATTCATTCACTTGTTCATTCAACAAATGTTTATTAACACTTGTTAGGCGTTATAGTAAATGAGTTGCTATAAAATAGGACACCTCAAACAAAGCAGATAAATTTATTTGATGCTATTTACAGTAAGTCCTTACTATTAAAAAAATTAAATAAGGATAATTTGTTATCTTCAAATAGAGGCAAGTGGCATAATATATTGATATTAAATTTCCAAGACTTATGAACCACATATACCATAAGATGAACATACCTTTTAAAAAATAAGGTAGTGGATAGTTAAAATGCACTTATGAAAATCAAGTTCTCCTGACTTTAAAATAGCAAATAGAGCCTACCAAGGTTTATCAAGTACACTGACAACAATCTATCCCTACTATTTCTTTTGGGGACATATAAAATAGAAAAAACCTGGACTATATCACTAAATGCTATTCAAATCTAAGTAAAAAAATTAAGGTTCTGAAGACATATGTGGATTTTCATGTCTGTATCTTATGGAAGGCTGTAACTTTGGTAGGGAAAATAGGAAAAGAAAAGTTTGTTTTGGAAAAGTAAAGATAGAAATTCCTGTACTCTGTAATACAAAAATAGTATTTATTTGCCCAAATGACAATTTCATCTTTTAAAATAATGGAACTATTTGGTGTGAACAGAGTTATTTCTACTCTTATCTCAAAGATGGAGGAGGAAATTTACTAGTGGGTAGTATAGACTTAATAGTGACAGTAGTGTTGGGGAAATGTGATCATTTTGCTAAAAGTAATCTTCTGACCAGTGTGATGAAGCCATTTTACAGGTCAAAATAGCAAATGAAAAAGGAAGCTAAACATAGTTAGATATACACTCTGAGAAACACATTTTAACTTGAATAACACTAAAGTATGTTCCAGTATTAGGTAACTCCAAATGTTAGCCATAATAATTACCTTCTCCTGTTATTTTAAGAACTATTATACTCTATCCTCCCTTTAAAAAAAAAATTAATGAGGTGCTAATGCCAAGGATGTATGAATAGATTGTAAGGATACTTGGGGCAGAACTACAGCCAGAAACTTATCTGAAGCTTATTCCATGACCTTTCTGACAGAATCACCTTTGTAAATAGGAAATGATTTGATGAAAGTTGATTCTTTCCCAAGCTCTGTCAATTATTGGCGATGTTGGAGACATTCACTCATGGGCACAGGATTCTAATGATGGAGTTTTCGTAATATTAGCAGCAAAATCATAAAGCATAATAAGTAAGTCTCTCGTCTCTCCCTCCATATACTCTCTTGTATACCACCTTCCTAGGTAGCTCTTAATATTTGAATTTTACTTTTGTTTGAGTGATTTTTAAAAATTAATGTATGCCACTCCAACTGGACACTAAATTCTTTGAAAACAAGGACTGTGACTATAATAAATCATTTTATCTTCACTATCTGACACAGGAAGTCAATACACAGTAGGACTCCCATAATTATTCAGTGAAGGAACAAATTTTAAAAAATTAAATATGTAGGTATTTTTTTAATTCTGAGAATCTTAAAAATACTCAAGAGTTAATGTATTTTACTTTATTGAAATATCTTCTGTGTAATGACCAGCGGGAGTACTGAGTTCCCACAATATGACAATGAAAACTGTAATTTATTGTTTGTGTTTTATTAAATGAATGAAACACTTTTGAATATTGTAAAGGTACTCAAAAAGTCCTTTTATACAGTAGCAACTTACTGAAATATTTCCAATTTTGATTAGTTAGGATCACTGAAAGAATGCTTAAGGATGGGAAACTCAACATTTTAGGAAAACAAAATTTCTCTAAAAGAGACCAGCAGCAGTTCAGAAAATTTCTTCTAATATATTTCTGTAAACATTAAAACACTAGATTTTAAAAATGAGATGATGCTTCCATATGTCATAGGTAGAATAGATGTTGACTGAAATCTATGTGAGCCACAGAATAGTAATGTTCGAAAACTAGAAAAGTTATAAAACACTTTATAGAAAAATAATTTGATGGTTTAGAATTGCAAATTAAAAAGTATAATTCTTACTAATGATCAGAAGTCTGGGCAGAGAATCAGAAAACTGGGAGTTGACAGTGACATGAAGTGGCACGAGTTCCTCCTACTTGCCTGTTTTCATTTTGGAAATGAAAAACTGGCATCCATTACTGATGAGATAACTTGATTAGGGTTCAATAAACACTGCAGGGATGCTCAATTCCAAGTGCTCAGTTCCAATAAGCACATAGGATGGTGTAGCAAGTCATGTGGTCTGATATATGAGCTTAAATAACAACTTCGTCTTTGAGATAAGGAGCAGTGTCACTAGATTTTGAGCTGATAGTGAAAGAAAAGGTACAGGATTTTCAGCCCCTAAGCCAGGAGATGGGCCATGCTAAAGCAGCTCTTTAGAAATGTAAATTCCAGTCTTCAACTCATGGTTTTCTTTTGGCAGTATGTACTCTTACATCATTAATTGTCCAAAGAAAGTGCCTTCCTGGTTTACTTACCCAGTTGCTCCCTATATTAGACACTACCTAGAGAACAGAGGTGAATTAGGGGCTACATAGAGAAATGTAAGATTTATCTCCAAAAGCCACTCCTACCATCCTGTAGATCATAAAGTTTTAGATTTCAGTAACTTTTAATATAAGATGAAACTTGAAATACTGGTTATTTGACAAAACAGTATAGAGATATGTAGCTTTAAATTTAATAACATTTACACTTAAATAATCTTTCAGTTATGAATGAGCCACTCAGTATGTATGTAGAACCATTTAGATTAACCAATGTTGGGAGAGCCATGATGGCACTACTAAACATAAAATTTGCAAACTTATTGTTATTTTAAAAAGCCTGCTGATGATAATATATTAAGACTATCTTCATCCGAATTTGCATGAAAAACATTTAATTACTCAATTATGTAGACCTTGCTTTGCAAAGAATTTGAGGTAATTATATTTTCTCGTATTTCATGCAGAAATCCCTAGAAAGTAAGAATTATTCTGCCCTCCTCCACCATGTTGTAGGAGAACAAACAGGTTCATGAAGGTTGTGTCCAAGGCCATGTGAACAGCAGTAGAGACAGAACAGAGGCTAGGTCTTCTGCCCTCCAATTCCATGTTTCTCTGTACCATCAAAGTGCCTCATAGAAATTAGTGAATAAAGAAGAGGCTAGAGCTTGAGAGTTGCAGACATGCATGAAGGAAAAAGAGAATGCTGTTCAGAGGCATTTCCTGATCAGAAACCCCTGTACTTCTATGCTTATGGGAAGTTTCCTGCCTATTATTATCCTCTTGCCTTTCTAATATTTAAAAAATGGTAGTATAAATACATAGATGCCCATAAAAAGGAGAGGCTTGGGTTTTCACTTGTTGCAAGGGTATGTGTTAGGTGTTCCCTATGATTAAAAGCACCAAGAAAAGATTCAAAAAAATTTTTTTTGACATCTAAATTTTTACTGCAAAGAAACAAACACATTCCTATATTAAAGTGTACAAGGTGATAATCTGATATACAATAGTTATACATTGAAACAGGATCCCCAACACAAAGTTAATTAACACATTCATCATTTCACATATTTACCTTTTTTTTTCAGGTTAAGAACACTTGTTTTACTCTCAGAAAATTTCAATTAGACAATATAGTATTAGAAGCTATAGTCACCAGGTTATATATTACATCCTCAGACCTTATTTGTAGTGCAAATGAAAGATTGTGTGCTTTTACCACCCTCTTCCTATTTTCTTCATCCCCTAGCTCCTGGCAACCAATACTCTAAAATCTGTTTCTATGAGTTCAACTGTGTTGTGTTTTGTTTTTAGGTCCCACATATAAGTGATAGTATGCAGTTTTTCCTTTTCTCTGTTTTGCTTATTTCTTTCTTTTTTTTATTATTATTATGTTATGTTAATCACCATACATTACATCACTAGTTTTTGATGTAGTGTTCCATGATTCATTGTTTGCATATAACACCCAGTGTTCCATGCAGAACGTGCCCTCTTTAATACCCATCACCAGGCTAACCCATCCCCCCAACCCCCCTCCCATCTAGAATCCTCAGTTTGTTTCTCAGAGTCCATAGTCTCTCCAGGTTTGTCTCCCCTTCTGATTTCCCCCCCTTCATTCTTCCCCTCCTGCTATCTTCTTCTTCTTTTTTTAACATATAATGTATTATTTGTTTCAGAGGTACAGGTCTGTGATTCATCAGTCTTACACAATTCACAGCGCTCATCATAGCACATACCCTCCCCAATGTCTATCACCCAGCCACCCCATCCCTCCCACCCCCCACCACTTAGCGTAATGCCTTCCAATTCATTTATGCGGTCACAGAGGCACAATTTCACTCTTTTTGCAGGCTGAATAATATTCCAGTGTGTGTGTTCTTTATCCATTCATCTGCAGATGAACACTTAAGTTGTTTCCATATTTGGCTAGTATGGATAATGCTGCAATGAACAAGAAAGTACAGAGATCTCTTTGAGAAATGATTTTGTTTCCTTTGGTATATACCCTGTAGTGGGACTTCTAGATCATACTGTAGTTCTGTTTTTAGTTTCTTGAGGAACCTCCATACTGTTTTCCATAGTGACTGTGACAGTTTACACTTCCAACAGACTACATGGTTTTCTTGTTCTCCACATGCTCTCCAACATTTGTTATCTCTTCTCTTTTTGATAATAGACATCATCACAGGTGTGAGGTGTTATCTCATTGTGCTTTTGATTTGTATTTCCCTCAAGACTGGTATTGTTGAACACCTTTTCATATACCTGTTAGCCATGTGTATATCACCTTTAGAAAAGTGGCTGTTTAGGTCCTT